TACCTGCGTGTAAGCCTTTTCCTTAGTTTTTTTGGGTTTTTTGTGTTTTTGGTTTTTTTTTGTAATAGTTGTCCAAGATCATAATAGTCCTTTTGTGACTGAGTTAGTTAGCTTAGCATAATGTCCTCTTGATGAATCCATGTAATGGAGTGTTTCATGAAGTCTTTGTTTTTCTGTGTTGCATAGTATTGTATAACTCTACTATATCCTCTTTACTCATTTGTTCTGTCAGGGACACTTGGGTTATATCCATCTCTGTTATTTTAATTAATGCCACAGTAAACATAGATGTACATGTATCTGTTCATGTGATAGCTCTTGTTTCTGTGGGATATATACCTTGCAGTGGAACTGATGGATTAAATGGTATTTCTTTTCCCAGCTCTTAAGGAAGACTTCCTGGGTAGAGGCAAACCACCAGCCTTCTGGTTAGCAGCCAGGTGTCCCATGCAAAGACTTACCATTACCAAACAGTAGTGTATAAATTCCACCTATTGTTGTTATTCCCATTGTGTTGTTGATTCCAGGATAACTAGACATATGTGGGCACAAGATTTTTGTTTTGTTTTTCACCAGCTAACAACAGTGAGCCCATTGGAAACACCATAGTAGATGGGGGAAAGAGTGAATTTTCCAACAGTTTCATTTTACTTGGATCCATGATCAGCACCCATGGTTGCTGTTGTTGTTGCCATTACTATGTTACTTCAAGTCATGTGCAAATAATAGCGACGTTGTGTACAACAGCTCTGAACTCTGCCCTATCCTGAGCCAGTCTCACTGACTCGGACACATCTAATCCCATTTTCCCATTTACTGTGCCAGTCCATCTCATCCAGGGTCTTCCTCTCCACCCTTCCAAGCATGATGTCCTTCTCCAAGTACTGGTCCTTTCTGGCCAAATGCCCAAAGTATGTGAGATAGAGCTTCAAAATCCTTGCCTCCAAGGAGAAATTTGGTTTCACCTTCTTCAAGACAGACCTATTTGTTTTCCTTGTGGTCCATGATCAATACTCTTCTACAGCACCACAACTCAAAGGCATCAATTCTTCTCACTACCTTCTGATTCCTATAATTCCTTCAAGATTGATTCTATCCATGTTTAAACTTTTGTTTAGCTTAGTAATTAATCTTATGCCATAATTGTCTTTATGTGACTTATTTATGTTATTCAGCCTAATTTGTTCTTGATTCATCCATATTGTACAAAATATCACAAATTCTTGATTATTTTTTAATGATATGTAGTACTCCAAAAACTATTAATGTGGAGAAACTATGAAAGTTATGCAAATGTCCAGGTCTTTCATTCATAGGATCGCAATGAGTCGTCTGTGACTCAACAGTACTTAACAACAACATTAGAGAGAGCTCTGTTGGCCTAGTTATTCTAGAAAGTTATGCTATCAAGCCAAAGGTGGGTGATTTTAATCTGTGGCCCTCAGGCCTGGTTTTAATTGTTTTCCCTCAAACATTCTTCTAAGTGGTATAGCACTGGTCTGTCCATTTGTTGTACAGAGGTAACTCTTGGTTGCTGTGATGCTAAACACTGTGACACTGATGTGTCAAATGCGATCGATAATGGTTACCCATGGTGGACAGTGAGCAAAAGTGGTATCCAGTTATGAAATAGCTTGCCTCTGAAAACTCTACGAACGTGGAGAAAGGATGTTCATACAGCTATTCATACAGATGTTAAGGTTGTTCGTTCATAGGGTCACAATGAGGCGTCTATGACTCCATGGCACTTATCAACAACAATAGGTTTCCATTGTGTGAATGTAGTAGCATTTCTTTGGCAATTTATCCATTGATGGACACTTGGATTGTTTCCAACTCTTTGCTATTATTGTAAATGATGTTGCAATAATCGTGAGAGTGTGTATGTTAGTTTATGTTACCACTTACATTTCTTTGGGATAAATCCCAGTTGTAGCAGTGAGATTCCTGGATCATGAATTGTTACTTTTTAACAAATTATCTTTTTTAAAAATTTTAAATTGATTTTAATGAAAGTTTACAGAGACTTTGGATTTTCATTCCTTCATTGTTGCACTTTTCTCCCTGCCCACCTCTCCTCCCAAAATTTCTCTTAAGTGACCTCTTTATATTAATTCAAACATCACTTCATCTTGATTTGTTGTTATTTTTGTTGTTGTTTTCTACAGTGATAGCACCCCATCATAGTGCAGTATAAAAATGTATTTAAGTAGCCCCCTCTGGGTGACTTTTGTTTCTCATCTTTTATGACTTCAGTGTTTCAGTGAATTAACTGCCATATGTCATACATGCAGGTTGTTGAATCAAAACTGTATACTATTTGTGCTTTTGATAGATATTTTAAATTTATGCTTTATCCTTTTTAAAATACTTTTTAAGTATCAAGAGTTGCTAAAATTCTACTTCCCTTTTAAGAGCATCCTTCAGGACCCCCTACCTGAATGAAGTATTCCTAATCTCTAGAACCATGTGTCTGTTGCTAGTCATAACCACCATGTTCTCCTTTGTGGCTGGATATGAAAGAGTGCTAGTCTTTTTTTTCCTTATCCTCAAAAATTACTCTTGTGGACACATTTCCTTATTGATCAAATGTTCATGTCTTTTGTTCAAGTAGAGAATCTCTGTTGTTGACATACAAATAATATCACTGCCTTGAGATAGTTAAAACTAATAGTTAGATGGAAATGATAGCTAGAACTAACACTAGTTCTTATTAATATTTTACTGAGACAAAACTCTTTAGAGGGTACAAGATCTCATGCAGGCACCACCAAATTAAATGTCAAAATATTTCTCAAGTATCTGGAATGTATGAGAAGGAAGCAGAGACCAATAAGGCATAGAACAGGCCTCTTGGTTTCTTTGGTCTCTACGATATTTGAAACATTTCTCAAGTATTTTTAGTATGGAAATATTGCATATACATATAAATGTGTGCAAATAGTGTTCAATTGAAATGATCACAAATGTGTTTTAAAGAATGTCTTGAAAAACCTGTCACTAGCTTCCATCTGAGACAGGGCACTCACTCCCTTTTGCCTCACATGCAACCTGCCTGTTCTGTGAATGGATTTACATTGGAAATCTCTGGGCTTCATAACAGGAGGAGGCACAAGCATCTGTTAAAGGAGGAAGATAGGATTTCACGGGGGGCTTGAGAAGACTAGACGAGGACTCTTGAACAGCATCAGTGCCACCAGATTTCCTTCCACACTGAATATTTATTTTTATTCAATAAAACTAAAACATGTTCATAGGTGTTTTTTTTATTAAAAAAAAAATATTTTCTACATTTTAATCTCTGGGAATTCTATTTTGTCAGACTCATCAAGTAGTATCGGGGGTTAGCTAAACCCCAAAAGCTGTTGTTTGAAGCTTAAAATGTGAAAACACCTGATGAATGTGTAGCTGTGGCAGTCTGTTGAAGCCATGACTCTGAGAACCAAACACCGATCTAAAAATGTTTCTCCCATGTTGTCACAGAATGTATTTTAAAACTGGAGTCATCTGCCTTCCAAAGTTGATCTCCGCTGCACCTGCGCTCACAAATAGTTTTGCCTACACACAGGAACTATTGTTTAAAGATCTTGATGTTGATTCACCATGTAGGCTCTCCAGGAATTATCCACACTTAATATTATTTTATTAAATAATGCAGGCACATGGTAAAAAAAAGAAAAAAACCCTCTACAAATGGCATATAGAAAATTACACTTCTGCTCCACTTGTCTCCAATCTCTCTCACCAGAAGCAACCACTGTTTTCAATTTCTTAAGTTTCATTCTCTAAATATACAATCAGTGTGCACACTTAGGCCCTGTGCAAAGGCGTACTATATGTGCTGCTTATCTGTTTTAACATAGTCTCTGGAGAATTTTGGTTTTTCAACGTATACATCCACATTATTCTTTTTGGCTGCATCATATTACATTATGTAAATGTTAACCATTTTAAACTGAGTTTTTGCAATCTCTTGAGACTGTAAAGAGCACTGTGAAGACCTTCCCTTTAGATGTGTCTTACTGCAAGAATCTATATAAGCTGTAGGAAAAATTTCTAGAATTGGAATTATGGGTTGAGAAAATTTTAAATTTTAAATTTGCATTTTAAATTTTGTGATTGTCAAATTGACCTGTAAGAATTATGTATGTAAATACAGCTTCCCAAACCTTTGCCAATACTTGTATTATCAGGCCTCTTGATCTTTGGGAATCTGATAGATGAAAAGGCTTTCCTTGCGTTTTCACTTTGCATTTTGTAGGTACCCTGGTGGTGTAGTGATACTATATCAGGCTGCCATCCCCAAATCAGTGATTTGGATCCACCAGCTGCTGTGAAGGAAAACGATGGACAGTCACCTCCCATAAGGATTTACAGCTTTGGAAAGCTAGTAGGGTTCTCTATGATTCAGAATGTGCTCTATAGCGGTGGGTTTGGGGTCTTCAGATTTTCTGTTTGTCGTTTCTATTGCTATGACTGCAGATTAATATAGGCAGGCCAGAGGACTCACTCGGGGCAGGTAGACTGGGCTCCTGCTTGCTACTCTTCATCTTTGCTACTCTTCCATTCTTTTTCTTCTCCCTTGCTCCTCTCTCCCCCCACCTCAGTAAAAATACCCATACTTCATGGGGAAAGAAATTTTATAGATGGTAACTCAATTACATTTGTAGTGAATAAATCCGTCCTGTATACTTAGGTCGTTTTTCCTTTCCACTATTTCTGTGAACAATGTTTTTTCCTACAGTAGATATTGGCATTCAGAACTTGCCTTATTTTGGGACAAGTTCTTTAAGACTTACTGGATTATTTCTTCAGTGTTACCAATCAACAAGCTAGCATGAGGGCGAAAATCCCCCCACACACACAACTCTTTTAATCTTGTAGAACAGTGCCCAACACACAGTAGACAATAATGTTCTTTGTAAAGAGTGTATAAAATGTGCTATTGATTTCTTGGCCATGAAAGTTAAAAGCTCATACTGCTCTCTTCCTTCCTCCAGACGAAGTCATCCGGAAGCGTCTCCTAATTGATGGGGATGGTGCTGGAGATGATCGGAGAATTAATCTGTTGGTGAAGAGTTTCATTAAATGGTGCAACTCTGGATCCCAGGAAGAGGGGTATTTCATGTCACTGTTGTTTCTATGCCAATGCCCAGGTGTGGTTGTTGTGGTGGTTGTATTCCATCAAGTTGGAACCGACCAATTGCTCACCCTCCAGTCAGGGTTTTCAGAAGCAGTTAATCACACAGGAGGAGATTGCCCATCCTTCTCCCACCAAGAAGCTGGTGGCCTTGAACCATGTGCCTTCGGGATTGCAGCACAACTTCTTGTCACTAGACTACCAGAGTGCAGGTTTTTTAAAATAGATATTGTCTTTTAAAAATAGCAACTTTTCATTCACACTTCCCCCCTCCATGTTCAGAAATCTGTTTTATGTTGATTAAAACCTTGCGACATAAAAAAAAAAATTGAAGAAAGAAAACCAGAAGAAATAAAGGTTAATGCCAGCTCCCTTTTAGGCAGATCCAATAGGTGGCTCATTAGATAAAATAACTGAATTGAGTATCCTTTTTTGTTAATGGGCTAATAAAAGCTGCGATTATATGTATACTCAAACTTTTTCAGTTTGAATTAGCTTTCTACATAAACAATAAACTGTATAAAATGAAAAAGCTGTTGAACAAAATTTTGAAGCTAAGACACCATTTTAACAAAAATATTCTTTAAAGTGTACTAAGCAAGATTTAAATAAGTTATTGTTTTAATTGAGCCTGTATTAATAAAACAACACTTCTGGTTTTGCGTTTGTGATGAACCCAGCCTATGAAATAAACCACATTTGAAAGAAAGCAAAGAAAACATAAGGGATAGGTATTTTAAACAGTTTTAAATAATAAGACAAGTCATTCTTTTAGAGCATAACATAATTAGTAAGTCTTTCCCTGTATTATGATAATTTAATATTGTCAGTTTGCAAACTTCTTTGTTCTGTTTTTCTTTTCCGCTAGATATAGCCAATACCAACGTATGCTGAGTACACTGTCACAATGTGAATTTTCCATGGGCAAGACCTTGCTTGTATATGACATGAATCTCAGAGAAATGGAAAACTATGAAAAAATTTACAAAGAAATAGGTAAAGCATCTTAAAAATAGCTAATATCAGAATTTGTTCCTCCCATTTATTTTACTTTTTATGGTAGAAATGAAACAATATCAGCTAACGTTTTCTTTAATTGATGGAAATAAAAACAATAATAGTGCTAATTCTCAATATAGTATATGCCAGCTACAAAAATATGTGCCAATATTATATAATGCTTTGGATTAGAGCTGATTTTTAAATGCCAGCATATATTTTCTAAGCAATGGACTGTCAATTTTAAAACACATTTTAAGATTGAAAATGGGCAGAGATTATACATGTTATTATGACTGTCTTTAAAAACCCACTTTTTATATAGAATGTAGCATCGCTGGAGCACATGAAAAAATTGCTGAGTGCAAAAAGCAAATTCTTCAAGCAAAACGAATACGAAAAAATCGCCAAGGTAAGGGTTTTGAGGGATTTAGTGTGCAAATACTTTATTACTGACTAGTATTTTCAGTTTTTACTGTTGTGAGGTAAATTCTTTAGCTAGAATCAGTCTGAAATATAAAAAAAATTAGGAGCCAAATTTTCTTTAAAATTTTAGTATTTTTTGAAACAGAGGAGAAGGAAAGCTTTTCTGAAATCAGGTTTTTACTATAATGATTATCTAATTTGTTAAGTATTTTAATATTATTCATCAGTTTTTTACTGTATCAAGAACTCTTTGCTTAAATAATAATATGGTTGTTAATCAGCACAAGTGATTTATACAACTACCTTAGATTTAGAGAAAAAATACTATTTTATTTGGGTTGTTAAGAATACACATAACAGAGCATATATACCAGTTCAGCAATTTCTATATATGCAATTTAGTGACAAGAAGGGTTTCTTTAAAAATAGAGCTACTTTGAAAAAAAAAATAGGCTGTGAACTTTTCTTAAGTACAACGCAAGCAAACATTTAAAAACTGCCAAAATATCTAATAAAAGAAAGATCAAGGTTTTTACTTTTGTTCTGACTTTTTTATTATTCAATTACAATAGTCCTCAAGCAGTCCAAGTAATTTTTAAAATAACTTAAAAACGTATGCCATTACTCTCTATATAATGTAAATTGGGGGGGGACATCCCAAACAACATGTATATATATGCCAAACTAGAAGGAATTAGGAAAATGGTAGTATTTTGTTGTTGTATGTCATCGAGCTGACTCTCCAAGTTTTTGAAGGCAATAAATTACAAAGATGGAGATTGCCCAACTTTCTCCCACAAAGCAGCTCATGAATTTGAACCGCTTCCTTTGAGCTGGCAGTGCACTCCTTCCCACTAAACCACCAGAATTCCCCTTTTGTTGGTGGTAGGTAGTGTTGAATCAAGTAAGACTCATAGCGACCTTTTAAACAGCCTCATTTTGTGCCATCCTTATCATCTTTGACACACTAGAGCCCACTGTGTCAGTCTGTTTCACTGGGTGTTTTCCTCTCCTTTGCTTACCCTCCATCTTTTCCAGCATGAGTTTCTTTTCCAAGAAATAGCCTTAATGTCCAAAGTATGAAAGATGAAGCTTTGCCATCGTCACCTCTAACAAGCCCACCAGCTGCACATTTTCCAAGACATATCTATTTGTACTCTTTGCAGTCTATAGGATATTCACCACTGTTCTCCAGCACCACAACTCAAAGTCATCAATTTTCTTCTGTCATTCATTCTGACACTAATGAAGAGCAGTGATGTCAGTTTGAAGACTAAGGTGTGCCTGATTCAGGCCATTAGTCTTCTCAGTCACCTGCTGTACATCAGAGAGCTAGACAATAAGGATGACAGAGCTCCCTTAGGATTATTTAATGACTTGGGTTCTTTTTCTTATTTTTTTTTTTTACAATAATTGTGTATTATTTTGGAATCCAAAATTGCTTTTATTTAAATAATCACCCTTTACTCATTTAGTATGCTGAATTCCAAAACAACAGACTTTGATCTTTCAAGGAGCTAATTAAGATAATGCTTAATTTTCTGATTTTAAAATTTGGGTTTTGAATTCATTATAAAGCACAGTTACTCAGTTTTCAATGGCTAATATATAGCAAGATACCAACATATTTAATAAATTTCATATTTATTTCAAGATAAATTTGAAACGTTTTACAGGAGGATTTTTTTGCTTTTTGTTAAAGAGGTTGTTAAGTGGATAGTTGTATTCATCATTTTCTAAGAGGGATTCACAGGAGTTAGATGACTTGTTAAGATTCAGTAGATTAGAAAAAAATCCTGAGCTTCAAGTGATTTCTTACGTCAGAACTTTGAAATAAGAAGAAGTGAAATTTGTGTTTAATATTTTGCTGGGGAAAACAATTGATCCATTAGATGATTAATGATGACTTCATTTAATTTCCTGCTTACGTTGACCTATTCTATTCTGTCCAGAATCTAAACCCATTGCTGTCAAGTGGATTCTGACACAAAATGACCCTTTGGGACAGGGTCGAACTGCCCCATAGTGTTTCCAAGGCTGTAATTGTTAAGAAACCACCTGCCACATCTCTCATATATTGGCTTATAGATTTGGACCACCAAACTCTGAGATCGTAGCCCTATGTTTAATTTAATCTGTTGTGCTGTCATATTCTGCTTACTTATATTTAAATGAAAAAATAGGAGTAGGAGGTAAAAGCCTTAACTGAAATGCTTTGGGTATAATGTATCATTGCTGTTTTAGGTGAATCAAGAGAAATTGGAAATACTCTTCGTTATTTGATGTTTTAATTTCTTCATGTAATAAACAGATTACAAGAAATTATGACATTATCAATTTTGTTTTGCTGATACATATTCAAAACACTTTAGTTTGGTAAATATTTTTATTTCTTTCAGAGTACGATGCTTTAGCAAAAGTAATCCAGCATCATCCAGACAGACATGAAACATTAAAGTAAGTTTAGAGGTTTACTTTGGAGTAAAAAAATCTTAAAAGTGTTCTTGTGATAAAAAAAAAGTGTTCTAGTGCTGTGTATTCCATTTTTATGACAGCATATAATATGTTTGAAAAGTGGCAATCATGTCTTCAATATTATATATTCTACGATTGCTTGATGAGATGTTTGGTTTTGTTCTCGTTTACTACTTACATGTCTAAAGTAAATGTATGTGATATACATCAAAAGGGGGGGAAAGAGGAATCAATTGTGGTCTGTTTTTATGATTAAGTTCTAAATAGCAGTTTAAAGAATAAGCTAGATGGACCCTTTTAATCAAAGATCTCAATAAACATAATTCGTGAAAGATAAAACAGGAGGTATAATAAGTTTTAAGTTATTTCTAAATTAACAGCAATGTTTTGTTTCTTTTACTGAGAAAGGTTTGAAGGAAATATAACAAGATATTAAAAATTAGCAATTCCTAGTGCTTGTTTTATTATATGTGTTTTTCTGTACTTAGAAAAATTATCTAAAAATGCTTATTGAAAATAAGTGCATTATTTACTTTCTGTTCATATTCAGAAGCGAGAACAAGATCATCCTCATATGTCTGTGCGCCACTATGATGAAGGGGTGCAGCTCTTCATGTAAAAATTAACCTAAAGATTAAACACTTACTGTGAATTATGTTCTTCTAGTTAGCAAAATATTACACTTTTCTTTTTGCAGGGAATTAGAAGCTCTGGGAAAAGAATTAGAGCATCTTTCACATACTAAAGAAAGTGTTGAAGATAAGGTATTTGCTTACATTTGTTATTTTTAATTATATAAATACACATACATATGTTTTTGTTTGTGTATATATATATGACAGTGTGTGTGTGTTTGTAAATTGAGAGCAATTTACATTTATTGTTTTTCTTTTTAACATAGCTGGAATTGAGACGGAAACAGTTTCATGTTCTTCTTAGTACCATCCATGAACTTCAGCAAACACTAGAAAGTAAGTAGAAACAATCTCAAAATAAGTATGTGTGAAGATTTTTAAGTGATCAAGGGAACTTGATCTTTTAGAAACCTACATCTAAGTTGTACACCTTCAGTTTCTGAATAAGAATATAGCTGAATGACAGTAGAAGGTCTTCACGTTGTTCAGTTTTTAGTATATATAGGAAAATCTTAGTTGGTAGTTATTTATAATTCAAATAAGTGCACAGTGGTTCAAATTGAGAAAAATTCAGTAATTATAGATTTAAAATTTTTCTATTTTTTTATAGTTAATTGCTATAGAAAGGAAAGCTTCAAAACTCAGATGGATAATGCTAAGCGAGTGACGTACTTAGCGTGTACTCGCTTTTGCATACAGTCTATGTGGTGGAGTCTGTGGAGAACTGGAGATTACTCTCTATATTGACTGTAGCCGTGTTGAAAGTTTTATATTACCTTATCTGCTGATTGTTTTTAAAAAGCCTAATGTTGCAAATTTTTGCATGAAATCTCACACAAATTTAAAATCATGCCAAACCTAACAACCACCCACCACCAAAACACCACTTTTCAAGCCTAACACTTGTATGGATCAATTATAATCATAGGCTGCCATTAACTAATAAAACATAAAAATGTTTTCATGTATTTACTTAGCACATAACTTAGCCAAATTGACCACCATTTTATGTTTCTTTCTCAATTTCAGATGATGAAAAACTCTCAGAGGTAGAAGATGCTCAAGAAACAAGCATGGAATCTGATCCTAAGCCATAGACAAGCTAAGGACTCAGCAAGAATATTGAACTAGCTTCATGATCTTAGCATGTTTAGAAATTATTATGGTCTTGAGATATTTACATTTTCTAACAGTGACTTACCATTTTAAATTAATGCACATTTTATTTGTATTTCTGCACAAATAAGGACAGTGAGTTCATTAAAAAGAGGGAAGCAACAGTCCAAAAATGTTTAATAAAGTGTTTTTTGAGCAATTTTTTTTACATTAATATACTATGTCATTTTCAACTGGTAACATTGATTGCTTACAAAATAAGTTGAAGATTTTGAAAAGGTGGTGTTTCTAGGATTTACATGAAGAAATGAGTTTATTTCTGGAATTGTTACCACTTTTAAAAATCAAGTCCAGGGGTGGGTGGGAATGAAGTCCAGGAAAAGGCTTCATAAGAACTGTGGAATTGGGGGATCCAAGATGGCAGAGACAGCGTGGTGAGCTGCGGGGGTAGCGAACCACTTAAAGCAGGGCCATTATGGCCTTCCACAGACTTCGGCTTATTGATAATTGAACACTTAAACAGTTGATGACTGGCCCTCAGTGAAGATCGAAGCTCAACAACAGGAATTCAAGGATTCCCAAGGAGAAATGACTGAGTCTTGCAGCTCCCAACCCCCCGCCTGCAGAGCCCGTGCCATGCTGAACAACTGCTGCAGCTCCATGAGACTTCCACAGCCTGAACGAATGGATTCCCTCACCCAGGATGGATGCTGGGCACCGGCCCTCCTCAAGACTGATACAGCGAAGCCACCACACTGCCGCAAGGTGGTCTTGTACTGGAGAGAATTCTTGGAGCCAGGATGGCAGCTGTGGGGGAAGCGGGCACCCTCCGGCTGCTCACACAAGAGGGGCCGCACACCCTCCAAGTGCCCGTGCGGCGGGGTGGGGAGGTGCGTCCCCAACAGCTGCCCGCGCTGGGGGGGGGGCGCACCCCGCTGGCTGCCTGCGTAGGAGGTGGGGGATGGGATACATGCCCACCATCTGCAGGTTTGGGTTTCCTTGGACAGGCCAAAGAAGACGATTACCTATTCATTGGAAAGGCCAAAAAGGACGATTACCTATGCATTGGAAAGGCCAAAGAGGACAATTACCTATGCATTGGAAAGGCCAAAGAGGACAATTACCTATGCATTGGACAGGCCAAAGAGGACGATTACCTATGCAACGGATTGCTGAAAGTCACTGTGAGTCTGATGACCTTAACAGTGGCAGCATGCACAAGAGGACGACATCCTAAATGCACCACATATTTTGTTCTGTTGAATGCTTCTGCCAAAAGATGGTTAGACCTGGGGGCAGTCTGTTCACAATTCTCAGGTTCCCTTTATCATATATAAAGGGGGAGGGCAGTGACACCTACTTCAAAATATAGTATGACCACTTATTGGTGGGGGGGGTGTAAAGGGGCAGTGCTGGAATTGGAAGCACTATCCCTGACCACAGAGTCCTCAGTCAGGTGAGGGGACCAGACTGGGGTAGGGGCAATTGGAGGGGGAGTATACCAGCCAGCTCCTGGGGGGGTGTTGCCCTGCTCGGGATGGGCTGCCCTCAGCCCCCGGCTTGGGGTGTTGCCATCGCGGCCCTCTGCCCAGGGCGGGCTGCCCTCGGCCCCCGACTCGGGGCGAGCCATTGCGGCCCTCTGCCTGGGGCGGGCTGCCCTCGGCCCCCGGCTCGGGGCGAGCCGTCGCGGCCCTCAGGATGAGCTCCTCAGTCCCCAGATTGTGCCATCTGACCTCTGGGTGGGGAAGGAGAAGAAAATTTAAAAAAAGAATGCCTAGGGTATCCAGAGAATGTTATCTAGGCCACCTTCTGCCACCCTCACCCCCAGTAAACGTGAGAGCAATACCCTCAAAGCCCTTCTATTTGTAACTCACAAGTTTGTTCTCTCTAGGTTTGCTCCCTTTCCTATAGGTAACCTTAACTCTGAGTTTTACTCTAGAATTGACCCTGAACCCAGTGCCAGTGACAAAAAGGAAATACAACTGACAGCTAAGGAAGCAAAGGAAGATGGAGCCTCTGGGTTCAACCAGCCATCCCCACTGGTCCCACCTGGGAAACCACTTTGCAGTCCAGAGGGGAGGAAATGACAGGAAAATATCTTCTAACAGAGCAAGAAGGCAAGCAGCTGTAACCCAAGACCACCAGTAAGGTGATAAAGCGTCCTCCCTTCCCCCTTTTACATCTACACCCCTCCCTATTCAGCATGAAGAAGCCAGAGAGTCGGCATCCAATTCCCAAATCAATAAGACAGTTGGTTTAATTACTATTGGAAAATGCTTGTTATTCCTCTGTAGCATCTGGTCCCCACTGGACCCTCATCATTTCCTTCACCTGCTCCCCCCACCGACCAAACTGTGCAGCTCTGCAACCGCATCCTGGCCCATCCTCACCCTTCTGCCCCCAACCCTCACCTCCTTGTACCCCCAATATGCTTTTCCCAGTAAAAAAAAAAAAAAAAGAACGGTGGAATTATGTTTGAAATGTTGTGTATGTATTCATTATTCTGGGAAGATAGTAAGGACCACTGAATTTAGATAAAATCATCGTTATGTTTTCCTTTGCATAGCTCTTTCCTTAAGTCTTGAGGAATATAGTTAGTATTTTTTATTGTTATATTTCTCTCTCTCTTGTTCTTTAGGAGTTATTTTCAATAGAAAAATTGATCAATAAAATAAATTGTTTAAGATAAATCTATAAAAATTATTTTACATACAGGATTTCATGATCTTAAAAGTAGAGGCTAAATCACTTGTAATATTTTCTAGATACTGAATTGCACATTTAACACACCTTAGGTTCCATATTAATACATTTATACTATTTTGGAGACATGACACTTTTCATGATTCATACCTTAATGATGTTGGGTTTTTATAATTTTAACTAGCATAGATAATTTTTACTTTAAAAATAAAAGTTTAAAATTAGCTCGGTAGTAGTTACATCAAAAGTATCATAATACCTTTAATTGCTTCCTCTAATTCCTTCTGGCAGATCATAAGATAAATTTCTTTGCAGAATTGTTATGCCTTAGTAAATGTCTCTGGGGTCCGTTTTTTCTAAATGAATCAAAACCCTAAAATTTACTTGTATTGAAAAGTCAGATTTTCAAAAAGGATTTTTTTTGAGGGCTATTTTTTTTAATAAGGATTTTTTTTTAAAATAGTACCATAAACTTCCAAGAAAACAAATAGGTCTGTCTGTCTTTGAGAAGGTGAAACCAAGTTTCTACTTTGATGCTAGGAATTTGAAGCTCAATCTCACATACTTTGAGCACGTAGTCAGGAGAGACTGGTCCTTGGAGAAGGACATCACGCTCAGAAGGGTGAAGGCACAGCGCAGGAGAGAAAGATCCTGGATGAGATGGATTGATACAGTGACGAGGGAGATGGAGGTTGATGTGTCAGAGTAAGTGAGACTGGCTCAGGAGAGGTCAGGGTTCAGAGCTGCTGTACATAAGTTCGCTATGGGTCACAGGTGACTTGATGTATAACAGCAACGACTGGCAAAATATTCTAAAAAATATACTTCTTATTACTTAATTTACTAGAAAGAGTTAGTACCATCATGTATCAGTTGATCAGAATCCTTACAGAAATAATTTTAAAACAGTCAGGAACAAAACCGGAAGCAACAGCAGGTACATGGGAAACACACATGTTTCAGTTTATACTTCCTCATGGTCCTCTTGGATATCCTCTGGAACTGCTTAGAGGACTGAAGAATCTCGTCCCCTAGAAACTCACAGTGCTGAAGCTCAGCGTGCCTTTGGGCCAACAGCTTCATGGATTTATCAGTCACTGTTTCTGTGAGATCATCCACCTGTGACATAGAAATGAAGCCACATGTTGAGAAGCCTTGTCAAAACCAAAGGGGGGCTTGTCTTTCCTGAGAGATGAGTTCAGGGATTGGTAAAGCTTTTGCAAATCCTGAAGTATTCTAATTCAAGTCATAGTAAACAGAGCTTGAAAGCATACATTTACCACCCAGAGGCATAGATGATCTCATTTCTCAAAAGAAGCCGATGTGCCTGCCTTCATTTTCATTGAGTTGGCTTAATATTTATTAGATAGCCAGCATCATCTAGGTGCCCTTAGCCATCCTCCAGCCTCAGAATGCCCCCCTGCTAGTGTTCTTTCCTAATGCTGATCATTAACTTCATCACCCATCATGATGTTGAGCAGGACTGTGTGTTCTGCTAAGGCTATATACCTCTAGTGCTCCTGAAACACAAAAGTAAAAGCCATTGTCCACTACCTGCATTTGAAGCTTTCCTACTGTCAAATCCGATTTTCGGAGCATGTTTTCCATGCTACGTTTCTTTTTTTTTAAAGCTGGAAAGTGTGGTCTCTTTTTAGATGAATATGGAACCTATCAGAAAAATGCAAAAAGACGTTAGATTAGGAAGAGCCTGCAGTATTCTTGTGACGATGCTTTAAAAATTCTCACCCCTGGGATGTTCTCTTATAAATGGAACATTCACCACGCGACAAATTTGGGTTGGAGACTATATTCGTTTTATTCTCCACGCCCCATGTGTCTGCTTTGTGCGCAGAGCTCTCTTTGAAGAGATCTATAGGATGCAGGGAAATGAGATTGTCTGATTCTGAGAGAATATACAGTGTCAGGAAAAAAACAGGTCATTCGTAAGGGGAAGATGAAATTGCTTCTGTAAGCTGCTGAGCACAGTGGAGTGTGGGGCTGTTGTGGACCAGTGCCCCAGAAAGCTCATTATCTAGTCGTTAATTTGGGCTCTGTTCAGCAGGTTTCCTTATTTTCATGGCAGACAAGTCTCCCAATATAAAAAGGAAGCTCTGGGCTCTTTCCACCCCATACCTGATACTTCTCCCACAGCCCCTGCCTTGCTGGTTACAAGTACCTATACTGATAGTGTTGCCATTGGAAATCATTCATAGTTCATAGCCATTGGACAACACACCTATTTTACTCTCATTCGGTTCACTTTTCCTTCCTCTTGTGCTTAATACAAGAGGAAGGAAAAGTGAACCCAGTGAGCAAGAGAGCTATTGGGAGAGCGATACAAAGGAGGATGTGGCATCATCTCTGGGTCTTACCTTTCCCCTAAAGAAGCAGTTTATGAAGTACCACCCCTCAGCCCTGCCAGCTTGTCCTGCCTCAAGTCACCTGTTCCCTAATCCATTTGAAACACAATCCCTCTTCTTTTCCCTCAGAAACTGGTACTCATTTCTGCTAAGTGTTAGTGTTCCTACTAACCACATCTGGTGACTATACATTTCTCTGTGTGTTTGTCAAATTAACTATTCTAAAGTTAAATGCCCAGAAGGGTCAGGTCAGGCAGGACCACCAAAAACCCTGTGAGGGCAGGAGAAGACAGGCCTGCTTACAGGGAGGAAGCCTGTACCTAGTCCCTGTTACTGTTACAGGGAGACGTGGATAGATGTCTTTGAGTTGTGGTGCTAGAGAACAATCTTGAACATACCATGGACTGCCAAGAAAACAAATCAGTGTGTCTTGGAAAGGGTGAAACCAAATCTCTCCTTGGAGGCTAGGATTTTGAAGCTCCTCCTTAACTTACTCTGGGCGCATGGCCAGGAGAGACCGGTCCTTGGAGAAGGACATCATGCATGGAAGAGTGGATGGATGATGCAGAAGAGGAAGAGCCTGGATGAGATAGATTGACACAGTAATGGGCGATGGGGGGGGGGGGGTTGTGTGTCAGAATTAGTGAGTCTGGTTCAGGACAGAGAAGGGTTTAGAGATGCTGTACATAGGATCTCTATGCATCACAGGTGACTCAATGGCACATAATTACGTACTATGACAGGTTTGGAAGCAGGAGTGGCATCCATTTCCTAAACAAAATGCCTCTGGAATCTATGAACTTTGATAAATGTCGGTAGTTGTAGAGAGGCTTCAGGCCTTTTGTTCATAGGGTTGCTATGAGCCGTGCTCGGCTTGAAGGCAA